TGAGGTAGGGAGTCCTTTAATTATTTGAATTGGCTGACCGCTCTTTTCAATTTCAATGCAGTCTTGATCGCCGCTTACATAGGAGGAGTCATTTCAATTAATCAAGTCTAATAAACATGAAAACGTAAAAGGAAATAGAAGAAAAAACGATCAAATCCAATAAAAAAGCAAGGCAAACAACGAAAAATATCGCGTCCTATCGATTGGCGGGGGGCGGGGTGAGTACGGTAATTGCAGTGACATTTGCCGCATGCCGCAAGGGAGAATGCCGCGATAGGGGAGAAGTTCCGTTACCCGTGAATGGACCGCTCATGTAGGAACGGCTCGAGTCCGGCTGCACGAGTTTTCACTCGATTGTTGAAAGGGTGTTTTATGAGAAGTGGTACATTTAAAAACATCTCAACCTTTGAAGAGCACGGAGAAGTAGATAACCAAAAGGGTGGGGCCCTTGTGAAAATTGCGTGTGTCCTATTGTGCACTGCCTATTGAACGAGATCTTACCCTATCAAGAGTCTTGATCGTTTTGAGAACTCCGCCCACACAATGGATTTTAACACTGAGGTCAAGGAGCTGAACCTTTCGCTATTTGCTATGAACTCAGTTAGAACCCGATTCCTTAGGCTTTCTTACTGCGCAGACCTTTATCTGGGTTTTAGATTATCAGAAAATTATAATAAAATCTGTGATGAATCCCTGTCATGGCTTTTCAACAGAAATCCTCAGAAGATTTTTCGAAAAAGAGGGAATGCGCTGTGTCAAAAGACCTTCTTCAGATGATCCTACATTCTTTATAAAAGGTCATAAACAGGTTTCTTCGGATATTTTATCTTACTAGCACGATCTAGACCTCAGAACAGCTGTATACAAAAACCGTTGTAGCTCTTTTGCTAAGTAGTGGTGCCGTTAAGACGAAAAGCAGTTGTCTGTCTGACATGTCCGCTTAACTCAGAATATCTTGCTGTCACTTTTCATTGCCATTGTCATACATCACCACCATTTTCGTCATGTATTCAAGGTTCGTTCGCTATTGGCGTGAGGGTTATTGGTGAGTTTTTGTTTCACTGAAATTGACTGCTGTCGGACGGATTTTTCTTTTTCGGGGGTTGTCACTTGGTTCGAAGACTGAAGCCTCCCCAGGGGATACTGTATATCAGAGGAAATGTTGGCGAAAAGTTTAATGAAATTATCTCAGAGTCTTGCAACTGACCCAGACTTTCCTTATTGAATTGCTCGATTGTTTTCCATTGATTTTTGCAAGTCCAACAATGGGAGGTGCTCTAGAATCTTTGTGTTTGCATTTGAGGAACAGGGGATTTAAAGTGCTTCTACAGGTCTGGGAGAACTTTGGGTGCTTCCCGAGTTACAGATCTGGCAGGGCTCGAGAATCTTATGAACAGGGGCGAGGCCTTATTGTTAGAATAGCTGCCTCCGAGCTTCTCTGTAGGGACCGGAACCATCCTTCCATTATCTCGCCCAGATGACGAACTTTCGGAGACTGTTCCTTTCCCAGTTCAGCCTTCTATAGGTGACAACCGCCAAGAAGTGATCCGTCCGTGTGTTTCGCAGTGTTTGTCCGGTTTTCTTACGAGAACTAACAGCTTTTCGTGCCGTCATAGCTATTAGATTCTGCTGCCATAGTACTGGTCAAGTAGTCGTCATGGTCACCGTCATGTCGCATTTTCTGTTGGGCTAAATAGATTTACGGCTTGGCTACTAGAGAATTCATAACACTGATCCGTGTGGTTTACCATCAGAAAGTAGCTATTAATATCACTCACTACACAGCGCCGGTGGTTAATTCATTCATCATCATCATCGTTCCGTGAACTCGAAATACGCCATCAAATTCGCGTCAATAGCCATCGCCGGCATTGAGCCAAAGTTTGTTCAAAGCCGTCAATTACATAGGAGCGTAAACAAACAGCAAAGCTTTTGTTTTTCGTTGAGCCATAACCCAAAAAAAACGATTCGAGCTTGAGCTCAACACTGAGTTGTATAGATTACTGACGCCAGAAGGGACTATGAGGACCACTGTCAATTTTCTCAAATCAATTTTTTTCAGGGACGAAGACGATCGCTGGTCGGACCTATGTGCCTGTGATCAACCGTTCTGTAATACGTTCTCATATCTCAGATCTCATACAAGGTTTGTATACGAATTTGCTTATTTTTCTCTGCAATTCTTTACGGTACGATCCTAATGTAGTCGGCCACTTGCCAAAAATCGATTAGTCAAGTGTAATACTGTAGGAAAAATCACTCTAATGGGATCATTTCTTTGTACTTCGTTTAAATTACCGTAGTGTGGAAGGTAAGGTTTCAAACTTCAAGGCCATACCTCTCAGAAGGAATTGAGTTCATAGGGTTCCATAAAACTTTATTGGTGTTAGAATTGATCACTAAAATTTCATTTTATTTATTCCTCTATTTAATTGGTTTGGCTCTACAGTTCAGAAACTGGGATATGAGCATATTAATCCTTGGCAATGATGAAAATATAATATTGGTAGAATTGCAGGCATTACCCGTAGAATTATAATCAAGGGATGGGAAAACCTAGGCATAGCATCCGAATGCCACTCTTGAAGTTTTTTTTTTTTTGCCCTGTCGATGCCACCTTTTCCATTTCATTGCAACTCATCCGAGCGCACATGAAAAATTTATTTATTATCAATTTTATTCATTTTTTTCCATTAAATACGTGAGGGGTTCTAAGAGGCATTGAAGGATTTCTTCTCACATTCAAAAATTTCACGTTTACTATTGAACAATATAGGAATAGAGTGCACAAATACAACTGATGAGCTGTTTAGACTAGAAATTTATGTGAATAATATGTAAGATAGGCTGGTCAGTTAGTTTCCCTCGAATGCGCCACGCTTTCGAATCACATTCAAAGTCGTGCAGGTATTCGGGTGTGTTACTCTTCTCACACAATCAAACACGTCTGCGATTTGGGATGTGATTTTATGTTGTAGAGTCGATTTATATGTACATATGCTACATACAACGTACATATACTCCTACCATAACAACTCTTCTACCACTTAGTTTATTTGGGTAGTATAGAATATACCGATCTGTTTGAGGGAAGTACTTGTACGGTGAGGTGGGGCTGGGTTATGAAGGGTAGGGCGCTTATCGGCCATCACGCCACAGTTTCTTTTCGGAAGTCCGAAAAGCTGTTTTGATTGAACTGGTCATATTTTTCATATATGCTTGAATTTTTCTCATATTTACCGTAACCAGCAAAAGTTGACCTAGCGGATAAGTGGCCAGTCTATGCAACATTCTAGAACAATCCTGACTAGTCAGAGATTTTAGTGAGTGTATGTCTTGATTGCAGTCAACGACGAGAAACTCATGCTCCTGACGACGTGCCGTTGGTGTTTGAACGTGTCGATCGACCGGACGATGGTGAATTTTTCTTTGCTCTTTTTTTTCCTTGAGAAAATCTCTTTTTTGTGGGAAGCGAACGGCACCAGATAAGAAAGGGAACTTTTGATACAGCTGATAATGAAGTGTAGATTATATGATCTGTTTCGATTTTTTTAGTAACTAAAAAAACGTGATAATATAACATAATATGATATAATAATACGTATATATTATAATTATATAAATATATGTAATATCCAGTGATAGGCTACACTGGCACTGGAATACAGACATATAGAAAAATGGAATTTATTGAAGGTCGGGTATTCAGAGCGATAGGTTGGGTCGTGCGCCATGCATTTGTGTCTGTTCCAGATTCCTGTAGATATCCTATAATTTGTCGAGTGTTTTTGTTGTTCACTATAGGTAATTCTCTCACGTTGAAGTAATTAGGGCCTTCGAATATCACTCGGGCTTGAGCTAGTTCCCACGCTTCTTCCTTAGGCTCTTAAGTATCTCAATAGGCTTTTCTAATTAGTTTTAAGCGCTGAAAGATCTTCCGCCAAAGAGGATCGCTTGGTGATGAGATGGGAGTCGACAGATGGTCACCCAGTGGTCACATAAAGACACCAGCATAGACATAAACACAGGATTATGAGCTTAGTTGCTGAAACAACTGATGAACCACGAAATGGCAGTGAAACAAAACGTAAAGACGAAAAATTGGGATATTTTATGAGGAAATTTCTGGGTTGTGAGTAAAAGTAAGGATGGGTGCGTAAAATCGCGGTAGAGTAGGGGTAAACACTATGCTCGAAGGCCAAAGGGTCAGATTCGAGTTCTCTTCGAAGTACCCTTGTCCTAATCCAGCGTTCTCGTGGTACGAATCCCATATTGGGCAGAGGTGCATAAAACCAAAAAACCAATCGTGTAATTGGAATTCGTTGTTGTTCAACTGGAATTACGCTGCTCGCAGAAGGATAATTGCTACGAATCGTTGCTGGACGTAGCTATCTGAATGAATAGCTGGTTCGTACGTAAAATATAGGTTGGTTCTCTGGGATAGCACTCGTACAAAGCCCACCGTACTATTGGAGAAACAATTCCTGAACGGGATGGTTGAAATGAGCTTCAAGTAGAGTTTGATGTTGATGACAGGTTTTGAAGAAGCCATTCTTCCAGAATGTTCGTTCCAATAGTTTATCTGGGTTCTCCACATTTTCTGGGTACGAATGCATTCTGAGTGTTCCAATCACTTTTTGGAGACGCTCAGACTTAGTTGTACTAAACTTGTCCAATAAGTTTTTTTCAGCTTTTCAAACTTGAGAAAGCCATGACAGCTGCCACTAGTGCTGATGCGCTATGCATTCACATGTATACTAAATAGACTCAAACTAAGAGAACGAGACAACTCGTCCGAATGAAAGGCTTCCATAGAGGAATCGTTGTGTTCATTTTTGCCAGAGTTCAAGGGATCCTTGGGAGTTAACCGAATGAGGCAATCAAAAGGAATGAAGTTATAATTATTCAACTTTCGTTGAAATATTCAAATAATGACCATCAGAATGAATGGACCAATGATGTCGGGGGCTCTTTGTCGCGCTGCTAGAGTATTTTTTCCTAACAAAACCTTTACTTTGCCTAAAATTTTGATTTTTAACATAGATTGATAGATAAGTGGGGAAACATACTAAGTAGTGTGCAACTTTGATCATTCCGGCTTGTATAGGCGCACACTGTCTTTGCCCACTCATTCCTTCCCACTCCTTCGGTTTCTTCGAAGTATCATGAAGTAATGGCGCATACCAGAAATATTTCTTCCGATGAACTCTGCTCGCACCATCCTTCTCGAACTTTTGGAAAAAACAAGTAAAGAATGAAAATGAGGAAATCTGAGTAGTTTCCATTTTAGGGAAGCGCAAAAGCTAGGCTGCACGTGAAAAGTAAATATTGACTTTCAATACTGCAACTTGATCGATTCCGAGGCTCCGTGTCTGGCTAATGACGCATTCCTCTCTAGAAAAACCTGAACTTCTCCTACATTTCGATTTTTAGGTAGTCCACCTCCGGATCAACCTCCTATTACTGCCAGTTCTCTTCTGACTGTCCTCCTCGTTGTTGTACCGCTCACCGTTGGAGCGGCTACCGTAATGGTTCGTCACTGTATATCACAAAATATTTATTTACAAACTACCGACAGTAATCAAGAAATATATGAAATTGTGGACGATTTCAGGTGGTCGCCTTCAACTACTATTGTCATTTATGCTAGCAGTTTGATACACGGGTACATGTCTGTGCGGGCAATGGCCAAATACAAAATCGTGACAACTCGTCCGCTAACTCACTACCAGGTTCATAGTCGGGCCGTACCCATACACTGTAACGTCGTCCAACGAGATCACCGTCACGTATCAGAATCAGTCGATCGGGTGTTACAGAGATATTACCGGATGACATCAATTCTGAAGGGACGTGGAGTGGTGACTCCGATGTGAGCCGAAATCCACCCCATGCGTCCACGGTCAAGATGGCTCGCGTTTCTCGTTCACATTCGCCAAACCATCTGTGGCATAGGAGAAGTTGAAGTATCCACAGCTCCTACACTGCTCAAATGTGACTTACCCTTCACTCTGGCAGATGAATTCATGCTGATCGACTTCATACGGTTTCACTTGACACTTCCAATTCAGTACATACGTTGGATCAGCCGCATGCAAGACCCATTCACCGTGAAGCTAAACAAGTCTAGTCAGAAGTATTGCCCAGTAGGATAATCCCAAAGTACCTGTTCAGCCACACGAAGCGATGTGGCGCCCTCACAAACTGGTGGCACCAATTCGTCACAGGTCGAATTTGATGGCTCGATTGGATACAGACATGGCAGTGATCCGGTCAGCTGGGCTTCCTATGTAGTATAAGGTGAGATTGGGATGTTATGGCACCCAAGCTTGGGTAAAATGAGTTCTGACAGGATTCATACCTTCAGGAAAAGTTCTGATCGTGAAGCAGTCGGATGTAGCAGTACAATATCGCCATCAACTCGGACGAGAAGCCGATTTCGTGCCGAAAATTCGACCGATGCTGGCGCTGTTGTGCAGCCGGAAGAACTGAAAAATGCAGGTACGGCTACTTCTGTTTTTTCAGCGGTTTTTCAAAAGCTTGATATCAAAATTTTGGAAAATTGCCTTCAAGGGGAGTCACACAGGTTGAGAAAACTCTACGGATCTTTTTAAGGAGTTATTGGGTAGTTTCGAGCTTACCCCACGGTATCTTCAAAAGTACTGGGATCAGCCCCCTTCTTAGCTGACTCCTTCCAATTTGTGATGAGATGGTCCGCTAAATTCAAGCGAGCTGGGTAGAACCCACACTTTCCCTTTAGCTCTGCCAAAACTACAAGTCGTCATGCGCAACCAAGCCTACTTCCTTTCCGTTTCGCGAAGTTGTATGGTTTTTATTCTTTGCAACTTTCTGCCCTAAGGTTACGGTAAGATCCCTCTTTCCTTCTTTTTCTTCCTCTTGGGCCTTATTCCCTGAGCTCTATGTCACACACACAGTACTTCAAGTCAGTACCTCCTTGTTTGTGAATATTCCGAAGACAAATTCACTGAGAAGAATTACACCCACTGGGACTATTAGTTAGCGCCGAAAGTTATTAGAAGTCCGAGGTTCCTCGGGGGAGTTGCTTGAGCTTTTGTTCGTTCAAGGGGCAGCTATAGAAAGAGCTGAACTGACACTTGGCGTCGTTGATTAGATGCATTTGAGTTCTAAAAAGCGAAATTTATAACAGTCAAGAATAGGCCCGAATAATTCATTGATACTTTTGTTTTTTCTCTCGAAAAATTAAAACCATAAATTATAATTTGTAGCCCTATAAAAAATACGAAGGGATATTAATATTAGACGTTAATGACGATTTATCTTTTTGCGAAGTAGTCAAGTAATTCACGAATTAAACGATCTTGTAAAAATTGGATGTAATCGAGCGTTACGGTATGGAGATTACGGTAATACATATTTCGGGTTTGTACCCCACCAATCACAGTTGCGGAATTTTTGTTCATATTGGAGAAAGAAACTCAAACAAAAATATGTAAGTGGGAGTATTGGGAAGTTTTTGACGGAGAAACTAAAAAACTAAACTTTTTCAAAAACCATACTACGGTCTTCATTAATGGCCCCAAGTGATAATAGACACTTTCCTTTTTTTTATTCATATTGAGGTTTTTTTCAAATTTATTTTGAAACATTTTTGGGGCAGTTCTTAGAAGTCATCAGTCGGAATTACGAGTTGATGTAGAAATAAACAGGATTACTTCAGTACAGATGATAGGATTCACTAGTTTTCGGGCATCTGTTAAAAGTTCCGATTTTTCCAAATTTCGAAGTCTCATTTCTTTAATTAGTACGACAGTATATTGCTTGTTTTTCTTAGTATGTGTACTCATATGACAAATTCCATGTACTCAGTTCTTCGCATCATTTAGAGGATTGCCAACGAAGCTGTAATTAATTCCCATGCGAGGCGAGATGTAGTGCAAGTCTCGTCGGCCCCTGTCCTTTTCCGTTCGGCATGGGTGCTAAATGAATTTTCAGATATTCATAGTGAGTGCCCAGGGGGCACCTATGATATCCTAAGAACTGCTTTATCAGAACTTTTTTGCTCTCAGGGAAGTTGAAAGGTCGAACTTTACTGGGTGAATTTTTCAACCTTCGATTATTTGTATATGCAAAGGTTTGAAAGGGCTTGACGTAGCGCTCTTTCACGCTTTTATGCATGTTTTGCTGTTGTTGACGGGTTGGGCTATTGTTGTTGTTGTTTTGAAGAGCGAAGCTGAACGAATGAGGGAAATCCTGCGCTATGCCCATCGTTGCGCGTTGACGACTTTCGCAAAGGAAAAGCATTGTTGAACTCGTAGTGGGGCATTCAATCATCTTTCACTGGGGTAGGAGCAACTTTTGAAAAAAAAGGGTATTTCAATTTAATTTCACACAGAAACAATCGATACTGGCTAGTATCATAGTAATATTAACTTTAGGTCTAGTAGTATTAGATTTTCAGTAATGTCTTATATTATGTTTTATTGCTTTGATATATTTAGTTTTGATAAACAAGTATTAATCCAATTGCTGATTGTTTTGTTAAACGAGAAAGGGTAGAACACAAGGTTTAGTCGTAGTCATGCTTGAATTTCCCTGCTCCGTCTCCTCTTTTACTCGGAAAGAGTCGATGTACTTGTACTATTCCCAGGATCAGTTACCATCCCAGACTAATGAAGCCNTCAATCCCTCTGAAGTCATTTGTCCAGTATCCAATTTGTCGAGAACTGTTAATCCACAGATCCCAGAAAAGGAACGCGAGATGCCGGGAATTCCCCTTTCTTAAAGGACACATAGGACTCATAACCTTCGGAAAGCCTAGGCGTCGGCTTTGACTGAAAGACATCTATTCAGAGGATCTTCAAGGGTCCCAACAGTGATTTATGATACTCACTTGCATTCGAGAAGATTCGAGCCGTTAATCGTCACTCCGATAGCCGTTTCCGAAGACTCTACTGGCTCGCTGTGCCCAGGTGTTCGAGTCTCTTCGTTGAGTGTTTTTGGCAGAGCAAGCGCACATACATAAAACATTCGCCAACCAGTCGGGGCACTTCCCACTTCAGAAGAATGACTGAGTAATTCACCAGCGATGAACGGTGGAGAGTGAGGGATTATAAATCCCACAAGTTGAATCCTGATATCACTCCCTTCTCTCTACTACCACTCCATAATCTGTACCCGCCCGACATAGAGGGAAGTAGGTCTTGGTCGTCCTATGATATGACTGACAGGCCATGCATATGGAAAGGGCTCTACTTGTCCTCACCTTGGCTCCAAATTTGAACTTTCTTGGAAGTCCCGTGTCACATGAAGTCTTCACACCCTTGAGCGTAGAAGCTGCCCTTGGACTACCCGAATCCACATGCACTTTTTATGAATAAATTCATTAGGATTCTAGGTAGATGATACATGTCATCGCTTCAAGACCCACCCACAACCCTAAATCAGCTCGTCGTGATTCTTTTATTGTTCACAAGTCAGCGACGGCGACAACGATGAGGACCCCTTCGTGATGGATGCATGACTCATCTAATTTGCATTGGCTCTCGTACTCTCCCCCCTTCGAAGTCCCAGACTTGACACGCGTGTCATACTTCGGGCCTCTCTTGCCAATTTTGTCACCGAAGCTGGGGATTGACTTTGTCAGGGCTCAGTTGTTACTTTGTATCCACAATGCTTTAGCGCCTTTTACCATAACGGATGGGCGACGGGAAAAAACAACGACGGCACTGCTGGCACACGACAAAATGACATCAACCGCATTGCTTTCACCCATCACAGCACAATAGAATAAAAGAAGTGAAGCAGTGAAATCAACTGAACGGGATAAGCAAGTCATGCGAAAACGTCTGCTGAATCAACCATGCACTTACTGGCGCCCTTTACGATTGAATAAGCACTCTCTCAACAAGTAACTTTGCGGCCAATTTTTATGCAGTGCTGCACAAGCTTTTGAGGGTTGTTACTTGAAAGCCTGAACTTCGGGTGAATCTTTCCTGGGGGTTGGCAAAGACGACCATTAAGATTTCTTTCTGAGCTTCAGGAAGATTCTACAATCTTCTAGGGGCTCAGGGAGGAGGGTCATCATACTGCTCCTGCTATTCTCATCTCTCCATGGGAAGTGTTTTCAGGGTGTTGGGGACAGGATCAAAGTTTCCAGAAAAACCCTCTGTCGGTGTGGTCCACTTGATTCCTGTAATGATTGTACATATAAAGATATAAGACCAACCAAGTGCATCCTCTTGAACGAGTGCGATAATATTCCGCTTCCGAGAAAGACGGGATAGGGTGGCGTGAGAATTAACGGACCCATTCGAAGTTTTTTAAAGCATTTTTTCCAANTATAAAGATATAAGACCAACCAAGTGCATCTTCTTGAACGAGTGCGATAATGTTCCGCTTCCGAGAAAGACGGGATAGGGTGGCGTGAGAATTAACGGACCCATTCGAAGTTTTTTAAAGCATTTTTTCCAACACCTCATCGAAAGTATCAAGAGAGGGCGTGTGAAAATGGGAGAAAATGAGGTGATTGAGCTTAAAAGTGTATCTATGAATTCGGTCCATGCTGGGCAATTGGCTTCAGCCTTTGGTGATGTGAGCGGTAGGAATGGTAGGCCGTCCCACTGGTGACTGCTTTTGCTTTTCAAGGAAAGATGAGCCTTCACTTGGGAAAGGTCAGGGACGAGGTCAACCTCCGTGAACATCCATGTGAAAATTTCCAAAAATGTTCAAGTACCTATGTCTGTATAGTACATGTTACCCTTACCCAAACCCATACACCTCACTTGACTTTTCTCTGGGATATGGGTACTATATAGCTATAGAACTGTAGGGGAGGTAGCTTCCCATTTTGCAGGAAAACTGAGGGAACCACATTGTCGAGACCTTCTTCTGAGACATTGGGGAAGAATGCAGAGTTGACATACGGTCTGTGAATAAATTATTTTCAATGCCGAGCGTTTACGGAGAGAAATTAGGCACTGCTTCATAATTCTGCCTTGCATCTATAAGTATTTTCGAATATGATTTCGAGTTTTTCGGTTAAAGGTCGAAGTTTAACTAATGGCCACGAGAGAAAGCCAGTAAAAATATTTTCCTTTTCTGTCTCATCCTTATTCTTCAAGTCCGGCCCTCCTATCCCATACAGCTCCGGAAATGAATTGGTCAAGGCAATTTATTGCTCTTGGTCACAAAGGGTTCATTTTTCACCCGTTTTTCTTCCGTGGGTCAGATTTTTTTGGGTGCTTGTCGATTTGGAGAAGTGCCATGATCTATGGCGCATTCTATGTACTTCGCAAAGTGCATGCGCTGAAATGAGGAAAGGCACTTTTCTAAATGAATCCCTAAGTGCCCAAATTTTCTTCGCTCCCCATTACCATATGGCATAATGGCGAGGAGACCAAGAATCTTTACACACTTACCTTTCAGTGATTTTTTGAAAAACTTTGCCATCGAAACGTAATGCAAATGGATTTGCAATCAACTTATTTGATGCCACAGCATGGTACTTGAGCTGTCCATAGGTGTGCTGAAAAGGGGACTGGTTTCAGTCAAGAATAGTATTTGACCTTTTGAAGGTCCTAATAATTGAAGCTGGTAATATTCTTGGTCCATCTTGAAGACCAAGCGGCCCCTTTTCGGATCCCAGAAGTGTGGATGACGTATTAGGTGCGAATAGTAGCCTCCAACCGCTTCCCATATGGGCCTGCTTACAGCCTACCTTACCCGATGGTGAAACTTTGCTCAAATCAAGGGTGCGTAGTAGGAACGCCTCTGTAACTTATCAAAGGCCAGTAGAAATAATATACGAGGCGACAACCGAAATTAGTGGTTCCTACCCGTGCCCCTAACGGGTTGCCGAGGTTGCCAAGGGTCTAGGAAAGCTTTCTGATACGCTTATGTCAATCGAATCAAAACTTCCTAGAAGCAGTTGAGTGATAACTCCCGCCGTGTGATAGTGATAACTTAGTGATAGAGGACTGATATACCGCCGGAATGCGTCATACCTTCGGAATCTATTAGTAATTACAGCTAGGTATTAGGATGTACATATATTTATCATTATAGTCAGGAGGATCGCTGATTTAAGTGTGTGGTTTGGTTTCCATAGATACATATACCAACTGTCAATGAAGAAATGGGAATTCGGTTGTTTTGTGCAGAATCTGTTTTTGTGATTGGGGAAAAGGCATCAAAATAGCCTCCCATTTACAGGCCAATGGCCATTAAGAGAAATAGCATCATGTAACTGACAAATGGGAATGCAAGAATAAACTCTCTTCTTACATCCCACAATTAGATCATTAGTCGAAAAACCGGGCGTCTAAAATGTCTAAGTGCTGCTAAGTGCTTGCATAGTATCCAAGGGATCGGATTTCACCTTCGTCACAGCTCAACAATTCTTCCCACGGATCCAAGCGACTAATGCTAACGGATTGTATCTAGAATATTCTGGGGTGGAGGGGGAGGGGTATGGAGAAGAATTGGTTTTCTCTGGTAATCAGCTGCTAATCAGTTATAAATATGAGTTCCGTTTCATATTTGGAATAGCGTCTATGAAAATAATCTGTCCCGGGTTTGCTCAAGGGTTTTCTTCACTATTTACAGGAGCGGAGTAAAATCCTAGTTTTCCCTTGATTTTTCTGAACTTGAAAGGAAACCTGGACTGTTCTTCTCCAACGCTTTCCACGCAGACTTTATAAATGAACAACGTATTTATTAAATATTTCACAGATTTGAAGGTATTTCCTTCTGTTACGGGATACGCCATGCATTTGACATTTGGATGCCAAGAGAATTTTAAGTTTGATTGAGTCAGTGCTTTCGTTAGACTTAAGATCCTGAGCGAAGTTTTCTTTCTTTTCCAAGTTAGGACGACCCGCTTTTCCAAAAACTAGTGCGGATAGCAGCACTTAATGGCTCGGGGCATGAACTGTTCTCACTTAACTAAGTAGAAGGTTCTGTAGATTGCCGTTATGGAAACACCACGTATTATTGATTGCAATTGATTGACTCCTACAATAAACCGATGAAATGGAGCAATTTTTTAAAACTCACCATAATTTGTTCGGTATTCAGATGTTCCCATTCGGCTATGGACGATTCGACATCGACAGTGCTACAAAGTGGTGGACGTAGTTGAGCATGATCATAGACGCATTCATCTGAATCGGAATCGAACTTTGTGCCAGTTCAAACGACTCCCAAATCGGACCATTCGGCTATCTAACCCTCCCCCTCATGTCGCTCCATAGAACGTCTTTCTCAGGTCGACATTTCTTATTTGCGACACTCTTTCGTATTCTCTTCAATCGTGTTTTTCACGCCATTAGAAACTATTTCCCAAGTGCCTTTGTCCGCAGCCACTGTGATCTCTTCATTCCAACGTTACTGTGCCTTGGAGTGATAGAATATTTCCTTTTTTGGGTTATATTTATTATTATTATTATTGAGGTATAAACGTTTTATTGATGTTTGAAATGGTTGTTTTCCCTTGGTTGTCATAGCAATAGTACTACTAGTATAGTTAAGTTATAGGT